ACTGAATCAGGAATCAAAGAAGAAAGCCGGGGAAAAAACGAATCCAAATCTCATTCCTCTCAATTTAAAAGAGTTTTAAAAGAGTTTTCTAAGAGTAGAAACTGCTGCCAAGGGTGTAGGAGTCAGGCTAGCTGTGGTCTGGGACTGGCCTGACAAAGGCTGACTTCTACCCAGATGTCCAATAAAAACACTTAGCAAGTATCATTTCCATAAGGCTTTGTCTACTCGAAACACAAGCCAATTGTTTGGGTCCAATTTATGAAGCAAGGTCTTATGAAGGTTATGGGGTGAGGAGGCCTGATGACAACTAAATTGCCTTAAATGGAGCTCAAAATACCACCTTAAACATTCGCCTCTCCCAAGAAATGCTTCATCATAAATCAAGTGGCTCCAAACGTATTAAAAATGACAAATAGAGCAAGCACTTACCTCTCATTTTTTTCTTTTTATTCACCAATGCATCAAAGATTTCTGAAGGATATTATTCCATACAAAAAAGATGAAATGCATCAGGAATGCAAGATTCCAGGGATAAAAGAGGAGATTAAAAATCAAATGGTGGACCAGACTTCATGCTGAAAATTACTCTGAAAATAGACACACTCATTTTGAAACAAGGAGATGAGGACTGTCTGCTCTGAACTTGTAAGGAGTGGTGAATCTCACAGTAATTGGACACATGTTTCTCATCTTAGAAGAACTTATGAATCCATTTTAATGCATTCAAGTTCATGGGTACTATTTGTCCACAAGTAAGCTTTCTCCTCCCTTCCCTACCATGCACGATTTAATTGGGTTTTGATTCAACGGGGAAAAAAAGCCTTCCAAAACTCACTAATGTTTCCTGAATTGCCACTAGGCTAGCTTTAAGAGTTTGAAAGCATATGCTAAATGAAACTTTCTGTGTAAGTGTCTTTAATGTTCTAGTACTTTTGGATAACAAGTGATTTTTCATGTGTCCCTTCCTTTATTGGTAGCAATTAGTTCTCAGCAATAAGAATTATTAAGTGCCTAACCTGAGATGCAAATTTGTCCTGACTGAGAACAGATTAGAAAGTGGATCAGACAGGACAGTCCAGCCTGGCAAATCATAACACACCTCCTCGAAAGGTATGGATTCGGAGCACTCGGAGGGCTCGCTGTGGAGGAAGGAAGGAGGAGCAAACTCTCTGGAAACAACTCTTATTTGTTCTCTCTTCCTGTTCATTACAGGTACCTAGAAAATGCAACCAATTCTAAAGGCAGTGAACCCTGATTTTTTTTTTCACAGTCTTTTTCAGTCTACTTGGAAACATCTGTTTTTAATTGCATTCGGATTTGAAAACTAATTTTGGGTCAGATTGGGTTCAGGCTCCAATCAAGTTGGAACAGAGAGATTATTGCTTCTCCACGCATCCCAAAATTCCAGGAGGCTTGAGGCCAAGGATAGCACACTTTCTGAATGCATGCACGGGGCACATACATTTAGAAATGAAAAAGGAATTGCCTAATTCTTCTCTCAAGGAAACTTCTTTAAGGCCAATGACTTGGGGTTTTAGGTTACAGCTTTTAGACTCAAGATTCGATTTTGGGAAAGGTCAGTTGGAGGACAATACCCTCCCGTGCATTCCAATATATGGAGCAGGAGAGTAAGCATCCATATGATCAAATCAAAATAAAAACAGCATTTTGCGTTGTTCACTGGAGATCATAAATCCACCCTCCTTTGAAAGAAACTGAAACAAATACACTGTCGCCTAACCACAATTTCCCTGCTACAGTCTCGCAATGGCATGGAGCTCTTCTCTGCCCTCCATCTTCTAGAAAGGTGAAGAAAGGAGAATGATGTAAGGATCCCCTTTGTACGGGTTCTGGGACTGCCTTCCACACTCCAGTACCTGCTGAGGACAGGGGCTCAGGAGTTGGTCCCAACCTTGTCACCCACTCACAGTATATTCCTAGGCTGTCTGCCTCAAAGCATCCAATTTTAAATGAGGCTCTTATTTTTCTGCTTCACAAAAACCTTTTGGGAGTACTCAGAGATCTACGGCAAAGTATGATTTTTAAATCAGAAAGAGCTGTGAAAGTGCAAGAAGTTATTTTGATTTTGCTTAATGGCCGAGTCCAAAAAATAAAAGTAAAATTCCTGCCAAGAACTCTTAAGTAATTATCTGATACTGTGACAACTCAGAACACAAGCCTTAGATCCTTCACTGTGCAATTCCAAATGACAACCGGCGCCAATTTTCTCAAGCTCATCAACAAGAAGCACCCCTATGTTTTTTGAAACTCAAAGTACCAGTGAGTAAGAGAACACAGAAAGATAATATTTCACTTGCCTACATAACTATTATAAATTTAATAAGCTAAATACTGAGAACAGAGTGCCCTCCTGTGTTCCTCGTGTTCAAAGGATGTAGGTTTAAGCACTATTGTTAATTTTCATTAAATTTGTTAGCCAATTATTTCATATGTTTTATCTACCATAAACTATTGATTCATAAGATTCACGTTTATCGACACAAGGCAGAGTCCAGTTGTCATTTTAATAAATATCTTAAGTGTTCTCTGTAGAGATTTTCAGAAACCGTGCGGCTCTTTTTCTTAAAACCTGCCGTTATAACCTAACTAGAATTTAACATCTAAGATGCATCAATCTCAGTGCTTAATATTGGCTTAAATTTTTTTATCTGATGAACCAAAGATAACCAAGGAACCTGTGTTTGAATTTGATCCCCTGTTAAAATGCTCATAACCTAGGAGACTTTGGAAAAGAGAAAGCTTTCTTTATAAGTGTATCTCAAACATAATAATGAAATGGCTATACCATTAGCTATTTACCCTTCTTAGAAGAGGCGATATAAAGTACACATTTATCCCCAAATGGCACTCTGATGGCAAACGATACAAAAAAGTGAAGAACTAAGATGCCAAAGCTTCCAATAAGCCAAGGAAGATGACGCACAGAGCAGCTGCTCCAGGGATGCTTGGCAGCTGGAGCCTTCAAAACCACACGAAGTCTGCACACGCAGTTCCCGTCATGGCCAACGCAGACAGCAAAAATGAAGTCCCTTCAGTAGATCTTCTTTGGAACTAACAAGAGAGGCAAGAATGACATTAGTTGTTCTTTTCTTTTCATTACACAATACATAGCTTCACAAATCACCAAAGTTTTAAATTGTATTTCTTTAGCATTTATGACATCTTCTGATTATAAAAATAATATATACTCATCGTGGAACTGTTGGAAGATATAGAAACCATGAAGACTAAAATATCACCCATAATCTCAATACTCAGAGATAATATTCTGGTTTATTCCTTTCTGTCTTTTTACGTGAGGTACATGACTATATATACAGTAGATATAATACTTATCCTGCCCTTTTCTCCACTATTATATATTGTAAGAATTTCTTCATGTCGTTAAAAATTCTTTATCAACATTTTTAAGTTGCTTCAGAATATTCTACTGTATTGGGCATTTAGGTTGTCCCCAAATTGTGACAAATTTCTTAGTACATACATCTTTATTTTTCTGGTAATAGCCTTAGAATAGATATCTAGATGTGAAATTCACACTTTCAAGGCTCTGGATACAAACTGCTAGAGTCTTCCAGAAAGGCTGTAGCAATTTGCATATCTACTCGGCACCCATCGTATGAGTGTGCAAATGAGGCCTGCCCTTATCTGCTTTGATTTCTACAATTTCTTTATATTTGCTAATTTCATATACTAAAAAGGTCGATTTTTTTTAGTCTGTTAGTTTTGCATTTATTCAGTTCCTAAAGAGGTTAAATTATTTTTCATGTATGTTCTAATTATTTCTATTTCTTCTCTTTAATAATCTGTTTTTGAGTCCCATGTAAATTTTTCTACTTGACTTTTTTTCTTCCCAGTTTATGGAAATTCTTATTAACATTCTTGTTATTCACCATATGTAATTCCTAACATGTCCTTTATGTTTTGGTTTTATATCTATATTTGATGTCCAGACATGTCAAATATTTACAGTTAGTTCTATAAATCTTTCCCCTTCTCATGCATTTCCTTCAAGATTAGAAAGTACTGAGATTTAAATATTTAAAATATCTTCTATGTGTGACACTGGTGTCAGTTAATGCCCTTTTAAGTGCTATTTAGCACCCATCACTCAGCTCCAATATGGCGTTGGGTTAGTAAATGCTTATCTACTAGGAATGCTTATCTACTGCTGCCTCCTGGGCTCACCTCTGAGGCAACTCTCAGGGAGGGACCATCATAATCTCCCCCAAAGGAAGTGTTGTTTCCATGAAGCTTCTTTATTCAGAGTCTGCAATGTGCTTTCTTGTTGCTGATTACTGGTTTATTTATTCCTCTTGATAGATATATCTATATATGCACACACAAATATTTTACCTTTCCCAATACTTCATTTCAAAATATTGACAAATATGTAAGAATATTTGGACCATGTGGAAATTCAAATGCATTACTTAGAGAAAAATATTATTTTATTCCCATTAAGCATTCAGAAACTTAGAGGTTTCAACTTCCAGGACCTGACAGAATGAGAGAATATACAACTAGAAACTCAAATAAACCATGGATGGTTAAAAAATCAGGAAGAGAAAGTGCACATCTTCAAACTGGATCCTTTCTAGGGTGCCACAATGAAGTACACTAGCTGCAAAGTGCAAGGGAATGGTGACTTTTTCATAAGTTGAAACAACCACAATATCCATATCCATATCCAAAATGCTTTGTATAATTTATTGTGACTTCATTATATTGGTGTTAATATGCAAGCCCAGCAAAACACATTTAGACTACAATTCTGGCTGATCTATATTCTGCTAAGTTGAAAGGAGCGTAACAAACAACAAAAAAAATCTGAGCAAGGATCAATTTGGCACTGTGACTTCCACGTTGTTCGTCCCAAATGCACTCCTCAGAATTCCAAGGCATCTTCCAAAGGTGGAGAAAAGAGTTAAGAAGCACGTTTGATTGATCAGAGCACACAGAACAAATAATGTACTTACATTTCCTATAGTTGAGGATGGAGATCCCAAGTAGAAGATACAAGATATATGGCCACAAACAAAGCCTGATATTTCAATCATGGCACGAGTATGCTAAAAGCAGTAACACAGAAAGAACGATAGCATTAAGGGGCAATCTGAACATACATGAGGATCTCAATATTTTAAGGGAAGCTGGGAGTCATCTAAGGAAACTGGGATGGAAGTATTTTTTTCTCTGTGTCCTTGTTATTTTGGACCAATGAATACTAAACATCTCTTTCTAGGATGGGTGGTATTTCCTAATCAGGTAGCAAAATCACTTATCTACCCACTCAGATATGCTAAGTTGTTTTGAATAATGGCAATTTAAAATTTTTTTCTGAATAACTTCAACATAAGTTTATTTGGGTGGTTTCCATCTCGATTTGTGGTTCAGCCCCACAGAACCCCTTCTCTGATCAATATACGATCCTCTGCCCGTAGGAGGGGGCCATGGGGGCAGCCCACCAGCAGGATGGGTCTCCTCACGTTGGGTCTGGCCCTCCTACCCCCAGCCTCTGTCCAGGGAAGGGAGAAGGTGTTCTCTGGATTTTCACATATCTGGATCTTACCAAGCCCTGACCAATTCTGGTATACTAATGTTCGCTACCTGTGCAATCCCAAAGCTTGAAGTTTCTGAGATCTATTTCAAAAAGTTAGTAAAAATTTTTTTTTGAATTTTTTTATTGGGAGAACATGGAGGGGGTGGGAATTGCTTCCCAGCAGATTCTCATTTCTTTTTTGAAATAAAATATTTCCTAGACTAACTCTGCACATCTACAAATTCTTTGTGGATGTTATAAGATCAACAACAATGAAAAACTCTGAAAAAATATTTCTAAAGAAACCCAAAAAACGGATCTAAAAGAAAGAGTTTATGGCTCTCAAATGAGATTATCTTTTTTACTTCTGTTGAAGTCCCACATCGATTCTTCCTCAATAGCAGACTGGGTGTTGCCACTGACAGCACAGTGAACACAGCTTCCCCCATCACCCATGTGTGCTGCAGGCTTCACTCCCTAGCGCTTAAAAACAGACCAACAAGGCGTGGAGAACAAGTGCCACAAACTAGGGAAGGGAATTACCGCAGCGAAATAGCACTTACCTGGTATTTAATCTCCAGAATACTTGTGTTTCTGGAATGGCTCCACAATAAAAGGTATCCGGAAAAAAAAATACATCCTTTCCTTAGAAGTGAGTATCACTAAGTGCATCTGAGAAGAGGCTAGGCTGATAGACTGTGGTGACTCACTGGGTCAATTAAAGGACCGGAAAGTGCTGTTTTAACTGCCCAGTGATACATTTATAAGCTCAGTGCCTCCATACTAGCGCTGCAGGCCTTGGGAGGGGACAGCAGACAAGGAAGACGAACACTACAGAGAGGAAGTAGGGAGAGAGTGCAGAATAGGACAGAGGAGATTACAAGTGGTGTTAGGGGCAGCAGTAGCCAACAGAAATTAAAAGCAGTACAGCGAGGGTGACCCAGGCCTCTGAGAGGAGGAGAGGCAGCAAAGAGCCCTGCAATTGAGACAGATAAAAAGCAAAGTGATGAACAGAAACCCGGGCCCCACTGGAACATGTCAAACAGCACTTCTTTGATGGGGAAAGAGAAGTCGTTTAATCTCCAAGTTTAACAAACACCTATATTTCTAGGCCGCAGGAAAGCAAAACCAAATAATTCATGCTGTTGCTCCAAGATGCTATAAATTAAGTCATTACATCCTAAGGACACATCTCCTCTATCTGCATCAGGATCACTCAAATTAAGTCAGCAGTGCCAGCCAAAGTACGCTTTGGAAAGCTCTCCAAGGAAAAACCAAAAAGCGGCTGGTCCATAAACCGTGAAGCATACAGAACAGAACTGCTCCTCCTCCACGGGCACTGGCTGGCTACGCTCCCACCCCACCAGGTAATGATAACAGCATGAGAACTTCCAGGAGTGGTGATCAAATTGAATACTCTGGTTTAGGGACGAGGAAATGCCAGGATGTAGAATCTTCGCAAATGTGAAAGGCAAAGCCAAGACACAAAAAGAAACATACAAAAACCTATGTTTAAATAGAAAACTTGGTCCCTTGTAAATCAGATTGTCGTCCACCCTAAGTCCTTTGTATTCTATTTTTAATTTTTTAGTTATGTTGCATCTGTATTAGGGTCAGGACCCGGAGACACCAGGCACACAGACATCTGACTGTAAGATTCTGGGTAAATCATTCCCACTTGTTTAACATCAAACTGATGAAGCATTAAAAACGTTTGTGGAGTTATAACTGCAAAGGTAGAACGCATGGTTTTTTCCATATTACAGCCACATGTGAAGACAACAGACTTCAATAAAAAATTACCTTCAAACGCATTGTGTATTTGGGGGATTTGCTTTATCCCATAACACTCCAGGTGAGAGAGACTATCGAGCACATGTTTCTCTGCAAAACTTAATTTTCTTCTGAACCCTGCATTGACCCTAAGTTTAACATCCCTCCATACTCAGTCTATTTTGCCCACACAAGACATTGCAGCTAAGCAAAACTCTGTTCCGGAAACCTCATAAATGGTATGAGCTGCTTTATTTAGGCCTGAGGGAGTAAACTGAAGAGAGCTGGCCTGTCATACTGTTTTAGACAGTTGGCCACAGAAATTCAGGGTTAGGTCTAGAATGATTGAACTAGTTATGGTGGTGACTATATATATATATGTCTATATACACACACACACCTCATTATTTTAGTGATTTTTTTAACCAAGTAGTCCCTTTACTTTAGTTCTTGATGCCATGCTTTATTTAATATATTTAAAGTGGGTTTGGTGTTGGCAGAAAGGGGCGACAGGGGAGAAAACTGGCTGGGTGCCCTGTAAGCACCACGTGCATTCCAGGGGACGTCCACGTATTTTATAATCCATCCCATCCAGCACTGTCACTGAGGCCTGCTAGATGCTGGCTGCTGGGGCCTCAATCCTGAACAGACAGAGGCAGACTCTCTTCTTGTGAAGGTTTTGACTCATGTGGCACCATCTAAACCGTGAATCCATCAGATGAAGGCCTGGCGTCACCACGTGCTGATTTTGAAATCTAATGCCTCTACTTACTAGCGTGTGAGCTTGGTCCAGTCCACTGACGCTCAGCTTCCTCGTCTGTAAAACGGAGGTTGGTGTGAGGAATAAGTGAGAGCAAGAGCACATGTGAAAGGGCCAGCATGGTGCCTGGCACACAGCTGGGAGGTGTCCCCACCCTCCTCACAACATCCCCAGGGGGATCTAGAGCTGATTCTGTAGATCTGAGCAGCTGTCCTCACCCTGTAACATTTACAGCTACCAGGAGGCCACGTGGAAATGTGCCCCATCAGTCTGCAGGAGAGAGATGGGGCCACTTTCATTGATATGCAGCTAAAGACAATTTTCATTTTTGTGCTGGCTCATAAATAAACAAATGAAGAAACAAACAGTCATTTAAAGAAACAGTATTCAAAGCAAAAGTAGAAATGGTATTCAGTAATCAATAAATATGTTAAGGTCTATTCTGTGCCAGCCTCTGGAGACAGAAGCAGCACCTGTCCTATCGAGTAGTGTGAAGGCTGTGGTCACAACAGCGCCAACGAACAGTCACACTCGGGAACTGCCGGCAGGCACTACTTTGGGGAGGATGTGCTTCTCGAGTGGCCAGGAGAGAAAAAGTGGTACTATTTACCACCTACAGAAATCTCTCTAAGAGATTTGACTTTTCTTGCCAACCTCTCTTACCTAGAGAAGCCAAAGTTTTTCTGATTTATCATTTCTGTTTATTTTTCAATCACACAGACCAACTAAAATAAAAGGTAATAACATGGTATCTAAATGGGCCACATCCAAAAATTCTCAAAGGACTCACTGGGATGATTAAGGAAATGTTATGTCTTATCAATGATATGCCTTATCTCATTGAAAATAACCCTAAAATGTTCTATTGGTTGTTAAATGAGAAAATGTCAATTACAAATAGAAACATTAGAATGAACTGTTCCCGATCTTACATTTTTCCTTCTGATTCTTTAACTTGTAGTATGTGAATTGTGAGAGCATGGTTATATCCATGTTCACATAGAAGATAGCTGTGAAAATCTGGAGAGGTACATAAGGATGGACATCCCTGAATGTAAATCCAAAGCCACCATCATCCAACATCCGTAATATGGTGTATGAACAGGACAAAGCCATTTACATGATTAAACACAAGATATTTTAAAGGCTTGAAAATCTTCACTTTAATTATTTTTCCATTTGAATACTGTCGCAGAGATGTTTGCCTGTAGCCAGCAACTCTATTTTTAATGATTCCTCTCATTGTGGACCATCCATCGGCAGCACGGGGTCATTCTTCAGCCTCAGTGTAGAAGACGATAAGATAGCCCCTCACAGCTACATATCACATTCAGCTACCTTGACGCAAGAAAATATTAAAACTGGATGAAGACAAGAAATTAAAACTAGACGTGGATTAAAACAGAAAGAATATCTGAGAACAGATTGGCCTCTATTCTGCTCTAAACAAGCTACAACATTAAGAGGGCTGTCAAATAAAATACGGGATTCTAATGTGAGATTTAAGGCATGCTTATACTAAAAAGTTAGTCACTGCTTATCCGAAAGTCACGTTTAACTGGGTGTCCTCTGTTTTCATTTGCCAAATCTGGCAAGCCTATACATGAAGCCCTCCATGCACAGATAACACAGAACCTTCACTCTTTGAAGATAAATCCTGAGAAGGTGTGGTGAGTCAGGTAGCAGCCTCTGAAACCTGTCAGGCCTCCACTGACCCAGCACAGCAGAAAGCCCACAGAAAGTGCTCCCTCCACCTGTCCAGTTCTGTAGGCCACGGAGAGCTGGCTGCAAAGTGACAAGTGACAAATAGACACTGGGAGCACAGAACTCAATGAGGCAAGTCAGCACCAATTACAAACAAAACTGGTGAAGGACAGCAATGAAACACCCCAGAAGCTCACCCCAGTGAAGGTTCCAGGACTGTTCTCTAACCTTCTTCATCTACAGCAGGCAGCAAACAGATTCAGGATCTAAAAGAAACACAGTGGCAATCCTAAAACATTAATTTGCCTCTTCTCTCTGCTTTTCTTTGACCATTTGTATGGAAATTCATATACGTGTTCTCAGTACATGATATGTTTTCTTGGCCTCATAATGGGGGAAGATAGTAAGTCAGGTAATTATAGAGACTAGACCTATCACTAAAACATAAATAAGACCACAGGTTCAAATTTATACCAGTGGTTAGATTTTAAACCAGCATGTTTTTTAAACAAAATCACTTCTAATCGAATTGCCCATGTGTTCTAGTATACATAGTGAAATAAGTGTGAAAATCTACTTGACTCTTGTGTGGAATAGTAAAAAAAGTTTGGGCTCTAGGGTCTGAAAAACCTGAAGCCATGACTTGTCACCTGTGGGAAATCAGACAATTACTTAACCTCTCAGACCCTCAGTTTCTATAAAGTGAGCTTCAGTGATGATCACGAGCGAGTGGTAGAACTGGCCATCAACCTCAGTCTCCCGACTCCTAGCATGCCTTTCAGTACCACATCAACTACCTGAGAGTGAATATTCCCGGCGCTCAGATCTGGGACCATGAACCTCAATGCTGAGTCATTCCTCCAGGAAGTGGTGGTGAATAGTACACTAATGTGATCTTCAAAATGCATTTCCTCCTGTTTCAGATTTCCAATGCCTCTGAGGACCGACTAGATTCTGTCCCTTTCTACAATATTTTATAAACAGATGACTTTTCTAGGTATGTATAACATTTTACAGTTTCCCTTGAGGCAGCTCTCTACTGTTTGAGATTATTTCTATAGTAGATATGGTTGGTGCCTGACTTCTAACTGTAAATAAACTCAGCAAAGACAGACAACTTTGCTCTGCAGAACTAAACTTCTTGGACTCTTTGGAAAAGCATCCCCTTGTCGACTAGGAGAGAACATCATAATACAATATCTAACCACAGATGATTTAAATTTTCCTCTCATCAAAAAACATATTCAAAGGGAATTCAACATAGAATAGTGAAGAGATAAAGCACATATGATTTAGTGTCAGTTTTTTTTACTAAATATAAAACATTTGTATATCTTAATCAAGAAAAAAGCATTCAGTGCAATATATCAACAACCTTGCTGTAATATTCCAAAATGTTTTATAATGATGATCTCTAGTACATTCAAAATATACAACACAAGGAGAACATCTGTCCAACAGCAAGCCCAATATACTTTAAAAATATTTAACATTTAAAATAAGAATATTTAAATATTTTAAAATATATAAGAATATTATGGACAAGAGTATTAAATTATGGACTTGAAATCCAAGATATTATTATTATTATTTTTTTTGGTGAGGAAGATTCGCCCTGAGCTAACATCCATTGCCAATTCTCTTTTTTTGCTTGAGGAAGATTCACCCTGAGCTAACATCTGTGCCAGTATTCCTTTATTTTGTATGTGGGATGCCTCCACAGCATGACTGATGAGTAGGTCCATACCCGAGATCCGAACCCACGAACCCGGGCCGCCAAAGCATAGGGCCTGGAACTTTAACTGCTTGGCCACAGGGCCAGCCCCCCAAGATCCCTAACTTATGGTAGAGTAGAAAACAGAAAACAGACAATGGAAACCAGTCCTATAAACATGTTCCAGTATTCCCAGGAACTGGACACACATTCCTGTAGGAGATGTCAAATCCATGATGTCCCATTTATTGAAGCCTTCTTATCCTCTACTGAAGAGATGGTGGTAGCAAGCAAATGTACCTGCAGTTCCATCATTAAAGCTTAGATAATCAATGGTGCTATTTTCCAAGAAAATACAATTTAATTTCAGAATAAAGTCTTTCCTCTTTAAAGAATATCTTGATTCAGACTGAAGTTTGCCTAAAAATTGTTTCCAAGTCTATAAAACTTAAATATAAAAATTAAATACTATGGGGGGGCCGGCCCAGTGGCACAGCAGTTAAGTGCACGCGCTCCGCCTCAGCGGCCCGGGGTTCGCATGCTCGGATCCCGGGTGCACACCGACGCACCCGCTCGTTAAGCCATGCTGTGGCAGCATCCCATATAAAGTAGAGGAAGATGGGCACAGATGTTAGCCCAGGGCCAATCTTCCTCAGCAAAAAGAGGAGGATTGGCATTGGACGTTAGCTCAGGACTGATCTTCCTCAAAAAAAAAAAAAAATTGAATACTATGTAAAAAAATGTTTTCTTACAAAACATTGTTGAAAGAAATTAAAGATTTAAATAAATAGAAAGACATTCCATTTTCATAGATTGGAAGACCTAATATTGTTGAAATGGCAATACCACCCAAAGAAATCTACAGATTCAATGCAATCCTTACCTAAATGCTAACTGCCTTTTTTTCAGAAATGGAAAAGTTGATGCTCAAATTCATATGGAATTGCAAAGGACCCCAAATAGTCAAAACAATCCTGAAAAATAAGAACAATGTTGGAGGAATCACATTTCCCTGATTTCAAAACTTATGGACAAAGCCACAGTAATTGACACAGTGTGGTACTGGCAAAAGAATAGATATATAGATTAACGGAATAGAATTGAAAGTCATAAATAAGCCCATACATTTATGGGCAACTGATTTTTGACAAGGGTGCTAAGATCATTCAATGGTGAAAGAATAGTCGTTTCAACAAATGGTGCTGGGACAACTGGAAATGCACATGCAGAAGATGAAGATGGACCCTTACCTCACACCATATACAAAATTTAACTCAAGATGGATCAATGATCTACATAGAAGAGCTAAAACTGTAAAACTCTTATAAGGAAACATAAGGTTAAATCTTCATGACCTTGGATTTGGCAATGGATTTGTAGATGACACCAAAAACATGAGCAACAACAACAAAAATAGATGAATTGGACTTCATCAAAATTAAAAAACCTTTATGCATAAAAGAACACTATAAAGAAAGTGAAAAGACAACCCATAGAATGAGAGAAAATATTTGCAAATCATATACTACCTGATAAGGATCTAATATTCAGAAGATATTAAGAACTCTTACAATTCAACAAGAAAACCCAATTTAAAAATGAGCAAATGACTTGAATAGACATTTATCCAAAGAAGATATAGTCAACAAGCACATGAAAAGACACTCAACATCATTAGTCATTAGGGAACTGCAAATCAAAACCACAATTAGATACCATTTCACACCCACTAGGATGGCGATAATAAACAAAAAAGGAAAATAACAAGTGTTGGCGAGGATATGGAAAAATGAGAACACTTGCATATTGCTGGGGAGAAGGTAAAATGGTCCAGTTGCTTTCTAAAACAGCTCGGCATTTCCTCAAAAAGGTAAACATGGAATTACCATATGACCCAGAAATTCCACTTCTAAGTGCAGACCTCAAATAATTGAAAACATGTGTTCAAACAAATACATACACATGCATATTCATAGTAGCACTATTCACAAGAACCAAAAGGTGGAAACAACCTAACTGTCCATCAGCAGATGAATGGATAAAGGCACTGTGGTATTTGCATACAATGGAATATTATTCAGCCATAAAAAGGAATAAAGTACTGATACATGCTACAGCATGCATGATACTGGAAAACATTACGCTAAGTGAAAGAAGCCAGACACAAAAGGCCACATATTGTATGATTTCATTTATATGAAATATCCAGAATAGGTAAATCCATTGAGACGGAAAGCAGGTTGGTGGTTGCCAGGGGCCAGGATGAGGGGGAAATGTTTAATGGGTATGAGGATTTCCTTTGGAGTGATTAAAATGTTTTGGAACTAGATACAAGTGATGGTTTCCCAACATTGTGAATGTACCGGAAGCCACTGAGTTTTACACTCTAAAATGGTTGATTTTATGTTACGTGAATTTCACCTCAATAAATAAACTGCTTTGTTGAGGTATAATATCCATGCAATAAAATGCACCCAATTTAAGTGGATATGTCCATGAATTTTGACATATATACACAGCCATATAACTACCACCTCAATCAAGATATAGAACATTTCTGTCACCCAAAAAGTTCCCCCTGTGCCCCATTCCAGTGATACCACCACCCTGCATGCCCAGCCCAGGCAACTACTAATGTTTTCTCACACCATAGATTAGTATTCCTATTTTAGAATTTATTACAAATACAATGTGTCTTTACTTTTTTGGGGCTAGCTTCTTTTGCTCAGTATATTTCTGAGATTTGCCCATTTTGTTAGTATATCAGTCATTCATTCTATTTTAATCCTGAGTAGATTCCATTGTATGACTAAGCCACAAATTTTTAGGCAGCCAGCCATTGATGGACATTTGGGATGTTTTCAATTTTTGGCAATTTTGAATAAAACTCCTATAAACATTTGTGTACAACTCTTCGTATGGGAATAATTTCATTTCCTACCAGTGGAATTGCTGGGTCACAAGGTAAATGTGTGCTTAACTTTTTTTTTTTTTTTTTTAAAGCCAAACCTTTTCCTGAGTGCTTGAAACATCTTACACTCCCCCCAGCAATGTATGAGAATCAGTTGCTCCACGTCCTCACCATGGCCTGGTATGGTCAGTCTTCTTAATTTCAGACATTCTCTAAGGCAGGTTTACCCCTAGTCTCAGGCATGGCCTTTCTGGGATCTGTACTGAGTGTTCCTGGTGTTCAACAAGATCCCCCTGCCCTGCCCAGTCAGAGCTCAAGCATCTGCCAGCCCCATGTGAGCTCCAGCAGTTTTTCAGTTAATAGCTCCCAGGTAGTTCTTCTCTCCCTGGCAGCACTTTCTGCCTGGCCTCATGGAGTGTTGCCCTACTTTGGATTAATATTCTAACCAAGACTCAGGCGGACCCATATGCAGATTTCTGGAGCTGTTTCTCTACATAGCTTCCTCCTCTCTGGAACTCTAAACCATGATCACCGTTCCTCACTTCCATAGTTTTTTATTTGTGTCTCTTTAAGAGGCTTAACCACAGTCCATTCTTTATTAAATTTAGTTTGTAATTCATTTATGTGTACAATTTATCTTTGTATCCCTCACTGGGCTTAGCACAGAGTTTCACACATAGTAGAAGCTTAGATCATGTCTCTGCAGTTACACTCAACTTCTTAAAGTTGTGTGGTTTGCAGGCAGAACTGAGCAGCGTTTTCTAAGCACCACATCATCCTGCACACCCCTCTCCCTCCCTGGGCCCAAAGTAGGTAAAGTACTCATACTGAGTGCTCCCACAGGACCCTGCCTCCCAGCCAGACCGCAAGCTCCGCGGACTATGTCACTCTTGCTCACCACTCTACGCCTGGCACCATGCACCCTGCCTAGAACATGACAGGCACCCAGTACGTGTTGATTTTATAATGAATTGTTCCTTTGGCACGTGCCTCATTCTCTTTTGTTATTGGATATTAGCAAAGAGTGACTGGCTGTCCCATTCGCAGTGACTCATTTCAAGACAAGATAGTGATTGGTTTTTCCAAGTCATCCTGACTCCTTCTGTAATATAAACTTCCATGGATGACATACTGCTGGAAGCAGCTACATAAGCAAACTAGAGATTCCTGTATTAGTTAGAATAAAGGCTTGACTGCTATATCAAAGACCTAATAATTGCTAAAACAAGTGAAAGTTTATTTCTCTCTCCTGTCACATTCTGAGCATAAACAGATATGTTAAAACCAGTGTGAGGACCCTGGCTTCTCTAACGTTTTATAGAGTTAAGTGTACAAGTCTTTTACCTCCTTGGTTAAAATTATTCCTAGGTATTTTATTCCTTGGATGCTATTGTAAATGGAATTGTTTTCTTAATTTCCTTTTTGGATAGTACATTGCTGGTGTATAAGAAACACAACTGATTTTTTTGTGTTAATCTTGTGCCCTGCAACTTTGCTCTAGTAGTTTTTTTGAGTGGATTCTTTGGGATTTTCTATACATAAGACTACGTCATCTGCAAACAGAGATACTTTTACTTCTTCCTTTCCAATTTGGATGTCTTTTATCTCATTTTCTTGCCTAATTGCACTGGCTGGAGCTTCCAGCACAATGCTGAACAGTAGTTGTGAAAGCAGCTATTCACCACTGAGTATGATGTTAGCTGTGGGTTCTTCATAAACGTTCTTTATCATGTTGAGGAAGTTCCCTTCTATTCCTAGTTTTCAGGGTGTTTTTATCATGAAACCGTGTTAGATTTTGTCAAATATGTTTTCTGTGTCAGTTGAGATGATAGTGTGGTTTTTTCCCTTCATTCTGTCAATGTGGTGTATTACAGTGATTGATTTTCTTATATTGACCCATTCTTGCATTCCTGGGGTAAATCTCACTTGGCCATGGTGTATAATCCTTTTAATATGCTGTTGGATTCAGTTTGCTAGTGTTTTATTGGTGATTTGTGCATCTATATTCATAAGCGCTACTGTCTGCAGTTTTCTTGTCTTGTGGAGTCTTTATCTGGTTTTGGTTTTAAGGTAATACTGTCCTTATGGAATGAATTTGGAAGTGTTCTCTCCTCTTCAGTTTTTTGGAAGGGTTTGAGTAGGATTGATGTTAATTCTTTTTTAAGTGTTTGGTAGAATATACCAGTGAAGCCATTTGGTCCTAGACTTTTCTTTGTTGGGAGGTTTGATTACTGAGTCAATCTCTTGTTATAGATCTGTTCAGATTTTTATTTCTTCTGAGTCAGTTTTGGTTATTTGTGTGTTTCTGGGAATTTATCCATTTCATCTAGGCCATCTAATTTGTTGGCCTTCAGATGTTTACAGTATTCTCTTTTAATCCATTTTATTTTCTCTAAGGTTGGAAGTAACAACCTACTTAATTTCTGATTTAGTTATTTGCATCTTCTCTTTTTTCTTGGTCAGTCTAGCTAAAGGCTGTCAATTTTGTTGATCTTTTCAAAGAACCAAGTTTTGCTTCATTGATTCTCTCTGTTGTTTTTCTATTCTCTAACAGAATAGACTATTTTTGTAATGGTATGAAGGATATAGAGGACAGAGAAATCAATTCTAATTAAGGACTCTTGAGAAGGTTTTTTGAAGGGTTAGAATAGAATTTGGCCATTAAATTCCTAAAAAGCAAAGTTTTATTTCACATCTCTCTCCCAAATTTAGAAAAAGGCCTGGAAACAATTGGCCACTTTTGAAGATCTGCTGGTTTAGGGAAGGTGATGCATTTGGAGACCCTTGTGTGTTTGATTTTTTATTTAGTAGCATTTGGGGTAGTGGTTAGCTTCTAAAATGCTAATACTGAGAAAAAAATCACACAAGCAAATCAGCTTACCTCTCTGTTCACCACTTCCAACTTCCAGATCCCCCACAGCAGGGAGCACGATTGCTGGTTTGGAATCTGAAACGATACAGACGCCTATCTTATTTATTAAAGTGCTACATGCTTAGGTCCTGAGGAATGTGTTTTGAAAATGAGTGTGATCAAATGAAAGGGTATCCAAAAGAGAGCTTAAAGGTAGAGCCTACTCACATTCCAGACTCAGGGAGGAAAAACAATTCATGCCTAAGTGTCTTGGAAGCTTGTCTTAGAATTTGAAGATTGAAACCTCTTCTTTTTGACCGTTCCCAAACATGCCACTTCTTTTAACACATATATTAAAGAAAAGACTAGAGCAAGGAGGAAAAATAGATTTTCTAGAAGTTTTAGCCCATGTTTCATCACTGTATCTCTCACGAATTTCACTCTCCCACAAACAAAATGCAGCAAGAAGCTATTAATCACCTTAACAGATGTTATCAACTTTATTGGTATGAAAATTTAGCCCCTATCTATAAAATCCCATAGGATTTTGTTTGAAGTTAATAATCAAAAGCTGTATTTTTCTTTTTGAAATCACATTTAGCTTTGAGATACACATACATACACACATTTCACTCTCCATTTTCAACTTCTCAGTAATCTTTTACTGTAAAAACAAAACTATTAGAAAACATGAGTCTTCGGTTTAATTTCCTATAAACTCCCCTGAATTGTTCTCTAAACAGTGTAAAAGGAGAAAGGTCACACATCTCACACAACTCACACACCAGTATCAGTCCATCACAGCCAGTAAATTTGAGGCTGAGGCAAATAACACCTAATACGTCATCAGTAGGCTCTTACTAACGTTCCAAATGTGTGGATCTAACACCATTCTATTGTGCTCAGAAATAAATCTGAGATGTAAATTATGCATCAAAGAATATTCTTGTATTTAGGTCAGTCCAGCTTTCTGACTGACGAGCACCCCCTTACAAAATAAGCAGCCGCCAGGCAGGGCGGCCTAACAGATGTTGTTGTTGTTGTGGACACTTTATGTCATCTTTTAAAACTTGCTGGCAGTTAAAGTGTAAACACGTTTCTGTAAAGATCCCCACGGCACTCCCTCCACAGGGACGTGGAGCTGTGACATCAGTATTTCCCAGAGATTCTAAATCTCGGCAGGCTGCAATCATTATACGAATGATCAAAGCTATCCAAACATCAAAAAAGTAAACACTACTCACTGGAAATTCTGGACTGATCCTCTCACTTGCTGAAAGAACTCGCTTTCACAATTTCCTCAGACCACAGGAGAACAGCGAACTGTGTCTATTGAACGGAAGACACCAATTAAGACAAGTTAGAAGTATCAGATAAAGAATTTCTGTAGCAAAAAATATTTCATACCTTATTCCTCACCTGAGCTATGCTGATCAAATACTTTCCAGCACACAATGTCCTCTTTTCTCTCAAAGTCTCAAATTCATAATAGCGTACAGGTTGGAGAGCTGGTGGTGTCTGACCGCCACATACAAATTGCCAAGCACACAGCTGTCCGTGCCAGACAATGCAGGACAGGCACCTAAGGTTTCTCTCCAGCAGTCAGTGATGCCATGTCTAGGGCCACAGTCTAGCATAAGCGAGTCATCCGGATTCCACTTTTCCTCACTCCAAGGTGTCCCGACACACGCCTCATCAGCACTGCACGAAGCTCCGGGCTAGCGATTCCAGTTCTTGAGAGGGATATAAAGATACAACCTGTGCCTGAGAGAGTCATCAGACGGCCTGTTGCTACAGGGTCTTATCTCAAGTTATACAAGTGGAGCGGCTGCCCCACAGCCCAGCCTGGGTAGGAGAGGTGCTCAGGAACCAGGATTTGGGGCAAGGTGCCCCCGACAACCTAAAAGATCTATTTTGAGGACACAATAACAGAGAACTGTGCTCAAATGTCACCTGGAGCTGATAATTTTTGGCCTCTAGTTGTAAATATTTTTTAATTTGTTGCCAACATTTAAAGACAAAGAGATTTCACATAAAAACAGAGAATTTGGGCTTCTCTCGGAAATGAGGGCATTTGGCGACTGAAGCAGCTTTCTTCACGACAGTGGCGGGGAGCCGGGCAGCAGCTTCAGCTTCCAAGGCAGGACAAGCGCCCCACGGGCCCGCTGGCATTTGAGTTTTCACAGAGTCACACATTCTGCAGCGTGAGTGCAGAGGAACCTGTGAGGGAGGCGTGACTTTCTGAATGGAGGCGTGGTTTTGTGTGCTCTTAGTAGAGCTGGTCCATTACGACTCTCCGCTCTCCTATTCATCCTGTTTACTCAAACTTTTTAAAAAAAATCTTATCTCTGCTACTTGCTTGAGGAGAATTGAACTTTTTTGAACTTCTGTTCCTCACTTCACTAAAGCCATTTGTTAAATGACTGTAGGCACCTTTTCTGCTTTGCTAATTTCTCTCTTTTCTCTAGAAGCTTTTAGACTGCTACCTCTGAGACATCCATGGCTAGGTTCACCCACATTTAGGTACACATCAATGTCTTTCTCAGTGTGAGAATAAGGGAAACAGCAAGTTCAGAGTCTTCAAAGTCAGAGACCAACCCTTCTCCCAACTCTGCTCTCCCCTCTCTCTCTGATCCGCCATGCAAAACCGACATGGCTCAGCAGAATCAATGGGGGTCATGGTGCTACTTTTAATAAGTCACCAAATGATACTCAGCTGCTTAAATGTCATAAGGAAATTATTTCTGCAAAAGAGGCATATGATAAAGAAATAAGGTTTAGAGGGTAGAGCCTGGATTTGGGGATAAAAATTAGACTGGTTTAAATCCAGGCTCTGCCATTTTACGTCTATGTGATTTTATTAAGTATAACTCCTGAGCATCGATCCCTATATTTATAAAGTGAAGAGTAACATGAAAACACATGTAAAGCAGTGAGCACTGTGCCTGACACACAGTGGGACTCAATAGGCTGGGTCCTCCCCTGGTGCCATGTCCTATAGACAACAGGAGTCAAGTCTTAGAAGTCCCACCATGCTTGATGACATGGAGTATCCGGGACTCTGTAAAAGGAATGCCGAGAACTACATTAATTTCCATATGAATACAAGTCAACAGAAGGAAAAAACAAAAACCGTCAGCCTGGTGAACTCAGGAGTGAAATTCAATTTAAAAGAAACATTCCCAAATGAAAAATTCGTCCTTATTCCTTGACCTCTCCTCTAATTAATCCTCTATCCCGTGTCTAGAGCATCTGCTAAGGCGCTGGTTGGCCAAGCCCATCTCTCAAGCCCCCACCACCTGTGCCTTGCTATATAATGTAGTCTAGTTCCTTGACACTGACTTGTGGTCTGCAGACGAACAGCAGCAGCAGCAGCTGGGAGCTGGTTAGAAATGCAGACTCTCAGGCTCCAGCCCAGAACTACAGAATCAGAAACTGCACTTTAACGAGATCCCCAGATGACTCCTACACACACTGAAGTGTGAGAAGCACTGCTGTAGTTCACACCCTGTGTCAGTGGGCACTTTCTTGTTTATCTCTGTTCAGGCTGTTTCTTGAGCACCTGTTACGTGTCAGGCACTTTTAGATACTTTGTATCTATATTCTCCAATTTTCACAAAAGTAGGAATTGTTAGTACTAATTTGTAAATGCTCCAGCTGAGGCTGGGAGAGTTTGAGTGTCTTTCCTAAGCGGTCCAGAAGGGATCACGACATCTCTCAAGCAGGCTTTACTCCTCATTTCCAGAGCTTGGGGTCCCAAACTGGTTTAGGAGGCAAAGCCCCAAAGTCATGGTAATGTCTCTGAAGAACACCATGAAAAATAAGGTATCTAATTTTATTGCATGAATGAGAAGTACCTTTGCTAGCAGGAAATAGGACTAAATTAGATGTTTGCAATATAAAAATCATAAGCTGGAGCATGAAAGAAAAGCCAGCTGTCACACCATGCAGGCAGTGGCTTCTGAACATTGTCATCTGTTCCTTGATTACTCACTCTGCCTTCTGCCCACACTCACAAGCCAACACGTGTGACAGCCACCAGAGCCTTAGGAAACATGTAAGGAAATACTTACAGGCAAGACCATTTTGTTAACTGAATTTTCCCCGTGGTTTGGAAGAGACACCCCTGGCCTATTTTGGCAGGCAGATGTCACTGGGTGTAGCTCCTAGTATTCTGAGGGAGGGAAGTTTGAGAAGTATTAGCCTAGAAACTGCTTGGGCAGTTTATGATGCAGAGAACCAGCCATGTAGCCTCTTTGGTGCTGGAAAGCCTTCCTGCCTAAATAACTCAACACAGAGTCACACACTTTTTGCATACCTCCATCCCCTGAAGGCACCCACAGCCCTCCAGATCCTGCTAAAGGCCACCAGGTGAGACGGCCCCTCCCTCAACACCTACAGTTGTTAAGTACTCACAGGCCAGGAAAGAGACCTAACTCCACATCCCCTCCTCTTTCTCCGCCTTCCACCTTTCCCCGTGTGAGGGCTTATTCGATAACATAACCACGTAACTTGACAAGGCTGTTAGCATTTATCAAGTGCTAAATGCCAGGCCCTGCAGGAGATACTTCCAGAAGCTATCTTCTCCAGTTCCTGCAGAAACAGGAGAACAGTCAGGCTTGGAGGAGTGAAGTGACTTGCCCAAGGTCACAGAGCCAGTAAGCAGGGGGCAGGGTACGCTCAAATTTCAATTCCTGCAAGCCCTACTAGGCGACACCGTTGCCCAGAGGTCAGACACAGGACCTAGACTCCCCGGGGAAAGCAGCCTTTCTTCCCCCCTCGCCAAGTGATCGACATAGGCGATAGGGCTCCAGGAGTCCTACCGGGCTCAAGACTCCATGTCTCCACACCAGACTTCTCATAGTTTGGTCCCCCTGGACCCGCATCTGGGCCTGGGAATCTGAATTTTCCACAAGCCGCCACCCCGGTATTCTCAGACGCTCACGAGCGAGATTCAGAGTGGACTGGGGGTCATTCTGCACAAAGCTGGTCTTGGGCCTCCCATCAGAATACCCAAATTACCCGCGCAAACCCAGGGGCAGGTTACCAACCTCAAAGAAACGTACCGCGTCGGGGCCCAACCTCAGACACGGAGAGGAACTGAAAAGAGGCCCAGCCGCGCGCAGCAGCCTCCTCCCGAGGGCCCGAGCCAGGGCGAGCCGTCCACCCGCACGCGGGGCGGGAACCACACGCCCTCCCCTCGGGGCCGCCCCAGGAAGGCACGCCCCCACCCAGCAAGGTCAGGGGTTACAGGCACCACCCTCCTGGGGTCCCGCCACTCGCGACACCGCCCCCTTCCCAGGTAAAGTTTAGATTTCAGGACTCGGATGTCCAGGGTCCTCTTCCAGACTCCTGGTGTGCGCCCCATTTTCTTCCAAGCCCATAGTAGTGGGCAGAAATCTACGCAACGGCTGCCGTCGCCCGGAGCAGGATTTAAGGTTTGGTCCAGCCTCATTTCTTCTCCTGGATAAACTCCCGGCACCCGCCCGGAAATCCTGGTGACCGCTGCGCAGCTCCGCCCGAATCCCGGACGCAGCCGCTGCCCCACCCGCCCCGCACCTGGACCGCGCGGCCACCGGCTCCACCGCGCCCCCGCGCTCCGGGCTGGATGCTCCTAGGCCCACCGACCCAAGCGGCCGCGGAGAGGTCGAGCAGGGGCACGGGATGGTGCCACGCGGCGACCAGACAGTGACCCCTGCAGGCCGCGGCGGCGGAAGCGCTCCCCCCTGCCCCGCCCCGCGTCCCGGCGCACGCCGCGCTCACACCGCGCACAGACACGGGCACTCGCCGGCGAGGGCACACGCTTGTGCAGCCGCCTGTCCGCCGAACTCACACAGTCATGACACTCAAACACAGTCACACCTGATTCACACATTCCCACGAACACGTTAGCGCACACTCACACCCACATCCACATTCACACACATACACATTGGAAACACAAATGCGCTCACACCCTTGCACACCTACACATTTTTTACTACATACGGTTAAAAGCTACGCTTTCAGTGGTAGGCTGAAGAATCCCCCCACGCACACAAATGTCCAGGCACTAATCCCTGGAACCTGTGAATGTTGCCTTATATGACAAAAACGGATTTTGTAGATGTGATTAAATTAAGGGTCTTGAGTGAGATGGGGAGATTATCCTGGATTATCATGTTAGCCCTAAATGCAGTGGCATATATCCTTATAAGAGGGAAGCAGAGGGAGATTCGACCTAGAAGAGAAGGCAGTGTGCGCAGGAGGCAAAGTTGGAGTTACGTGGCCAGATCCAAGGAAAGCCGCAGCCGCCCAACCCTGGCAGAGGCGAGGAAGCAGCGGAGCCCAGGAGGGAGGGCTGCCCTGCCAACACCTCGACTCCAGCCAGGGAACCTGATTTCTGACTTCCGACCGGGAGAGCTATGAGAGAATAAATTTCTGTCGTTTTAAATCACCAAGTGGTAATTTGTTACAGCAGCCACTGGAAACTAATATTTTCTTATTCACACTTTTTACACACAGTTCTGCACGCTGGAGTCTTTGGGGACGAAATTAGGATCGTGCCATTTATAATAGTTCTTTCACGTTAGCAAAGGTACTGAACCTTAGCAGTCTTAGCTTCCTCATCCTGAAAACCGAGACAGTAATGGGTACTGAGAGGACAGATTATCCTGAGAACTCGCTCATACACTCATTCATGCTCTCCTTCACAATCAGTAAGTCACCTCCTACCTTGTGCTAGACACTGCTCCAGAGGCGGGTTAAATGAGAGGCCTGTAGGCAGGTGCAGAACATAACAAAAGCCCCTAAAACTCCGCCTGTCTGGCACACAGATGTTGCAGTCATCATCCTCATCATCAGAGTCCAGACGCCTCATCCCACTTGAGCGAGAGTTCACACCAGCACTTTGTGGAGAGAGAAACCAAAAGCAACAGTGACGAAAAAGCTGAGAGGCTTAACTTCATAACACAGTAACTGTTCTCTCCACCCTCCTTAAGCTGCAGTCACTTGCCACCTTTCCCTCCAGCCATGCTATACATGCCTGCACTCAAGACTGAGCATCCAGAGTGGAGTCTGTGGTTGACTCCTTGCCTCTCTGCTGAATGAGGTTCACTTTCATCCCTCACCATAACCCTAGCCTGTATCCATATACAGCCAATCTCTCCCAGGTAGCCTCTCTCTCCTCTCTGCCCCCTATTCCACTTCAGATGGTCATTCCTTCTCTTGAGCTATTTTCATAACCTAACTTCCCCTAACCCAGCTGGTAAGTGGCAGGACAGAACTCGGCAGAAACCTTCCAAACCTGGAATCCATGCTCCATCTTAAACACTCTACTAGCTTGTTCTCGGCACACACATCTTTTCTCCACCCTGACATGTGAGCCTCCCATAGAAGGGACAGCATTCGTCTATTGTCACACAGGGACACCACTGGCTTTTTGAATGGGGCAGTTCTTCATAGTGTCAAGCTATCTCAGGCATCATAGAACATTTAGCAACTCTAGCATGATCATTAAATTAGAGTAGTATGCCACTGTTCATGACAATCAAAACCAACCACACATTTCCAAACAGAGGTGGGGGATGTGAGGCTACACAGATGGGGCAGTCCTCATTAAGTTTTACTTTTCAGCTGAATTTGGCATCCACATTTTCCTCCCATTGCACTTAATAGTGCCTGATTTAGCAATAGGTATCC